AAATAACTGTCCTTTCTTCGACATGGCAACAGACCATGGTGTCACATTCAACTGGTCTTCACCATGGACATACTTCCCATCCAGTGTAAATACTTGTAATCGTTTGCTTTCATAGTCACAGACTATCAGGTTGTTATATTTATCGACAGCAAAGCCAAATGGGCCATCTAACCGTCTAGCGTGAGGCCCCTCCATTCCGATGTTACGGCAGAACACTCCTTCCTTATTAAAAACCTTGACACACCCAAGCCCATCGTAGCTCGCAAAAAATCGGTCCTGGTGAAAAATAGCAAACCACGGAGCCTCATCACAATCTGGAGTACTGAAACACTTTATCAATTCTGTACCGTCGATGGAGAGGACCTTGATTGAATTGTCGCCATTGTCACACACAACCATTTGATTGTCACATGTAATAGACAATGCCCAAGGAGATTTTAATTGCTCATTGGTAATGTGTGTTATAAAATGACAATCTTCAGAGAATAGTGAAATCTGGCCTGAAGACACGACAGCCAATTCACCAGACCTGGTAAACGCGACAGAGAACGGCTCATGGAATCTGCTAGGGCCGTCTCCTTTCTGACAGAACTCACGCAAAAACTTGCCATCTGAACCAAAAAGTTGAATTCTATTATTTTGGCAATCTGCGACTGCAATATTGCCTGACTTATCGCACACTGCAATATCAAAGGGATCTTCAAACTGTCCTTGAACTTTTCCCCTTGAGCCGAATTTAAACACGTGTCTGTATCGGTGCGGATGTACCCGAATACTCCAGGGGCTACCAGTCAGCGGCTGAGAGTTCACCTCTATCGTCACGCGATGTATTCCTGTACAAGTTGGCGTGAAAGTCACAATATATCTACCGTCTTGCTTTTTGGTGATTGTCTCGTCTATGTCTTCCCCTAACGGTGTCTTGATACTAACGGTAACTGTGTCGTTCTTGTAATAACACACTTTCCCTTCGAAATCTTTTGTTGTTATCACAAAATCGCTTTTTCTACCAACTTCTGCGCATTCTAAACCAGCTCCTTCAGCCACTGACTTCAGAGAGTTTGAAGAACTAACAATAACTTGTCCAAGAATCGTTTGCATGATGTTCTGAACAGCTTCATCGTTTGACAAATAACTAACGTGTGATGGCATGCAAACGTTCAATTTACAAGTGTTTAGAAGACCTTTACAACGTTCCACAACGGTCTGATGTGTTTGCAGAATTTCTATGCAGTTGTTTCTCTTCAAAATGTCTTCACAGTGTTGTACACTGTCTTTAAGCTGCGCACTTAACAGTTGATAGAGTTCTTGCTGTAATGCATGACTTTTGTCTTGTTCTTCCTCAATCCTTTCTAAATCTTCCAAAACAGCCTTTTCGTGTTCCCTTACAACCCGAATAACGTCTTCCACAGTCTTTCGCACGCAGGTGCGAGCTATTGTGATTTCGTGTCGTACAATGTTCCACAAGTCGGACAACCTTTTCATTCGGTTTTTGCAGACGTCAATCTTTGTTTTTAGGCGCTGAAGAACATCGAAGACTAGAGCCTTTTGTTCATCAGCGACTTGTTGTATTTCAACGCTAGTGTGATTATAGTGAGGAATAAGTTTGCACTTGTGACAGATACAGATCTCACATTCTCGACAGTAAAATTGAAGTGGTTCGTTCTCATGACATCTTTCTTCACACAAACCAGGACTGTTTGTGTCCCCGATTTCTTCCACCTTTAATTGTTTCATTCCTAAAACAAACAAAACACCATAGTCAGTGCGAAAGCCACAGTGAAGGGAAACTCTTAGCAATACTAATCTTAGATGATTAAGTAGGTGCGGATATGTTTGCACCCAAGTCTGTGATTTTTGTCTCTCCGCCCACTTGTCTTAATAACTTCTCTATTTGTTCCACCCTTTCAAATTATTGGTCGCAAAATTAATCTCAATCGCGACTTGGTTACTCGTGTTTTCGGTTTACGAAAGGTTTGGTCTATCAATCCATCAATCTCTTCTTGCAAGTAAAAATCTAGAATTGAGACAAACCTTCGTTATCCAGGTGCACCTTTGGAGTTAAGGTTGGTGATTTTAAATCATCCAGTCTTTTCATGACTATTTCAATCCCATATCCGATTTCATCCAATTTATCTTTCAAGTTATCTTCATCTTTCTTCCACTGACAGAGCAGTTCTTTGTAGTGATCTTCAACCTCAGGGTCCATACACTCAGTTTCAAGATTGTCAATAGCTGCTTTGTATTTCACTCCAGCCAGCCTCACCAGAGTGTCCCGGATGTCGCCCCAGCATGCGTTGAACGTCGCATCATCAACTGAAGCACACTCAGCATGACCGTATACAGTGTTCCTGTAATATTTAACTCGGGCGATATCAGCTTCAAGACTCACATCTGTTGCAGCAGGAAGTGTATCCCAGCCTGCTATAGGAGAAGGTAAGCCGCAAAAGTTTCGCAGCAAAACCGTCAAAAGGGTGATATCAAAATCTCTGGAAGACACTGAGGATGGAATAAAAGGATAGAGTTTTCCCCATTGCGTTGCATTTATAATCTTTCTTGTTCTCAGTGACTGTAACTTAGTTTTGTTACTCGCCAAAACTGTGTGAAGATTGGCTGGGGAATGAATGGCATCGAATGTGTCGCGGAGGGCCTGGGTACCAACATCAACCAGCAGACGACACAAGCGAGCGTAGTTGGTAGTCTCCTTAGTAGATGAAACTGACGGTGCTGCGGCAGCCATGAGAACAACCTCCTTAATAAAAATAATGAAATAATAATAAAATAATGAAATATTGATAAAATAATGAAATTGGATTAGTAAGTATTAGGAGTATCACTTCCTTCGCTCAGAAAAACATCACTTTAAAGGCGATAATTTATGGGAGCGGTCAAAAACGATGATTTCGATGGGATCAAGGAGACAAGTAAGCTTTATATCGTATCAAATCTATGATACCTCGTTTAATCTTTTGGAAATTTGGATAACAATTATTTAGGAGAACAAGCCGCGGAGATAAAAAAAAACAAACAAACAAACAAACAAACGATAAACGAAAAATCACTCGGTCGGTGGGTGTGATAATTAACAACTCGTCACCGAAGTGGAGGTGGGAAGTTGTGGATATTAACCGAGCCGCGAAGCAGTGAGGAAATATGACCTATTATTTAATTTTCAACTCCGAATATTGCATTCCTAGTGTTCTGATTGGTTCACTTAACTCCGATTATCAGCTCAAAATTCCAAGTCACTTTACGCGAATGCATTGCGCCAAAGCCGAAAAAAGGCTCCAATTAACAATTATTAACTAACAATTATTTGAGCATATCTCGAAGATGTGTCTAGGTGAATAGTTGGCATTTTAATCTCAC